GCTGCGCCAATGCGTCAAGAGCGATGGAAGAGTCGATCGTGCAACGAGGCGAAACGAGATATATCCACCCATTGGATGATAAATTTTACTGCGGATCAAGTGCGATTATTTCTTCCTGACCCTGACTTTCTCCGAGGGAATCGGCCTTCAACGGTAAAAAGGGATGACAATTGTAACGTTGCGATTTCAAAGGCAACCTTTGTCTCCAAATTCGAACTTTTGATGGTTTAAATGGGTCCTCATTATGTATCACGGGTATTAATGAATCGCGTAAAATGCGAACGTGACGAATTCACGCGATCAAGTTCTTCAATAAGAGGTGTAAAAAGAGTTTTTTTATTATTGATGGGACCTTGTGATCATTAGGATAAACAAGGAATCAATCATTTTAAAGAAAACAAATTTACTGTTTTAGCACATTTTCATTTAATAATTCATAATCGACACAAACAAAACTGCAGTTTCAAAGTAAAAAGGTTGTTTACATAAGAGCGGTGTTAGGGGGTAAAGATGAATGATGAGATATAAGCTTGCATTTGGCAAAGGGAATTTCTTGTAACCTATTTACAAGTAATTAATAAATGCAAAGGTCACCCGAGACTAACCCACCTTGCTGTTCACAAGACATGCGATATCAAGATTTGAAAGAGGAACACGATCATCTCCCTAAGATTTCATAATCGTTTTTGGAATGAATGTAAAAAAAAAAAAGATGAATGCCCCTGGTACAATAAAAAAAATGCTTTGTTTAATCTCATCCGTATGCATTGTTTTGAGGCCCCCCACCCCTTCCCCCACCCCCTTATTGACGACTTGTGGCAAATATGTGGCCTTATTGATAATACCTCAAGTGGCGTTGAGTGGTTTAACGAATATGCGATGCAAACTTTTGGCTGGTTTTTTTAAACTTTGATCAGATTCACATCACACAGGACTCGGATGTAATCGTCAATCGTGGCGCTCTCAGAGACCATGTGAGAACAAGCATGTGATATATCAATACAACGGTCAACAAAGTCTCTTTTCAATACGTTTTAAGAATAATAATTAAACCCAAAACGCAATGAGGTGAAAGTATCAAAAATCCCAAACATGTATTGTTTTTAACGGCATGCAGCTGAGATCCTGAGCCACACATCAAACAATATTAACGTGATTAGTAAGGCCAATGTTACGAAACGGGTACACTAGTACAAATTTGGTAACATGAAGGGAACACACAAACCACAAAAAAAAGATTTTTAAGGCTTGAACCGGGGCTTGGTGAGCGGTGACCAACCCTAAATGTCTCAAATTCTGCGTTGTGTGACCGTGGTTCAGGTTTCAGGTCTTTGGCTGATTGACGTTATGTGATCAGGCGGAATGCAGCATGATCAACGACCGCAGCACACTCTTTGTTAGGGAGAGACCGACCAATCAGATCGTGACTAGTTTAAATCATTGTCCAAATTATCGCCGAACTCAATAACGTTGGTAATATATTTAACTTTTAAAGTTTTTTACCATTTTACTCATTAAATTCATGAGATCAAGGATGCGTGTAACATGAACACCACTTTTTAGATTCTGCATGAACCAAAGGTCATGTGTCACCATTCGATAATGAAATTTCTATTGAAGAAGATCCTAATACAAAAATATGTTTAAGATAATTTAATTAAAAATGATTTCCATTTTCGTCTTTATAGAAAACTACTTTCAAAAAAACAGGTTTTAGAAACAGGTTTTTATTTTATTTTTTTTTTTTTGACAATTGTGCGGGGTCGGTCATGGGAGTTAATTTGAGTAACATTCTTAAAAAAAAAAAAAAAAAAGAGAAAAAAGGTGTAATATGATTAAATTGTAATGTTACAAAAAAAAAGTTCCAAAAAAAATTTTTTTAAGCTATGCATACTCATTCAAAGAGTAGAAAAAAAAAAAGGCGTAAAATAATAATAATAAAAAAAAAAAGATCTTCAAAAGAGAGTTATTCCTTTTAGGTGGCAACAAACAGGAAAAAAAAAAAAAATTTATACGGAACGATAATCCGAAATTAAATTTGATATCATCTAATTTAGACACCTGTTTATTTCTTGATTATTAAACTTTTAAGATTTGCCTTTTAATTTAAATAAATACCAAAAAAGGAAAATTGATTCTGTGCAAATAAAAAAAAAAGAAGGGTCAGAATGCATAATGTAAAGTCAAATGTGTGTACACATTCAGATTTTAAGTTTTCTTACAGATGGCTTTTTTTTTGCCAGGGGGGGAGGGAAAGCGTTTTAGAATTGAATGGTGAACACATGGTCAGTGCATAACCTTTCATTAATTGTATTCCTAACGAAAAAAAAAGTAAAAGAAAATTCTGAAAATTTTATTTTTTTTTTTTTTTGCCTTTTTAAGGGGAAAACATGAGAAAAATGAGTATGCTTAATGCGCCAGACGGATATAAACGGACGCGTGCTAATGATATACATTTATTGTGGGGTTTACAGTAGGGTATGCTAGCTAAAAGTGGTTTTTAATACTTAGGTATAACTATATCTCATGGTGATTGTGTACTTGTACTGCAAGGTTAAATGCAATGGCGATTTTCTTTTGTTTTGAAGGTGACCCCAGAATTCAAAACAAAAAAAAATAGAGATAAGGATGCTTGTAAAATGTAACTTAAAATTTTTTTATTTTCCGGTTTTTTTAAAACAGAAGGGGATCTACAACATTTGTTTTTTATTCTTGTTTTCAAAAAAGAAAAAATACAATAAAGGGGGATATTGCTTATTTTAGTAATTTTTCATTAACAAAACTTCTCGAATAGTACTCTCGTAAACCATAAACAAATAAACATGCTAAACATTACGAAGTTAATTTGTGAGCAGAAGAGAACGAGCGTTGCTTTGAAAAAAAAAATAAAAATAAAAAAAAATAAAATAAAAAAAAAACGAGCGAAAAACCATGATAAAGAAAGACGTTACCAAAGATAGCTGACAGACGGACGGTTCATTGGAGACCCCGGGTAGACAGGATTACAAGACGAAATACGAGATGGCTAAACGAGTAAACGATAGGGGAAAAAAATAAAAAAAAAAAAGGCTATTAGGAGAGGGAACATCTGACATAAAGTAACATGCAAGAACAAGTTCGAACCGGTTATTCTAAACAATACAGGTTTATCATTTTTCTAATCAGATGATTCCCAAATAAATTTAATTAATTTCCATTTCTAAAAAGGATGTGGGATTCATATCAATGAGGGACGAATTAAGCAATCCCATTTGGCGATCTATCGTTATTTAGATAAAATGTCAATGGAATTTATTTATATTGACAAAAATAAACAATATAAAAACACAATGATGGTTAAAAAGCATAATGAACCTCTATTGTGTTACAATTGTTAATTCGTATGACCTTCTTTGACTATGATGTTATTGTTTTAGAGAGATAGACTCATTTTCGCACTGATAAAGAAGTGATTAACTGATTTATCAAGATAGGCTAAAGAATTAATAAGAATGATTTAGAGTTATACAAGAACATGCAGACATAACATCATGTGTCACGCCTCCATTTCAACCTCGAACCCTTTATTTTAATTTTGTTGTTGTGATTACTATTATCAATTGTTATTGCGCATAACACCTTAAATTATGCTATAAAGTTTAGTATAACGTCAATTTACCATAATAAATTTTTGGATAGTTTGTTTGTTTTATCAGGCAAATTCATCATGATACGTATGACCGGTGCATTATTTATATGATGTTTAAATTTTAAAGTGAAAATTATTTTAATTTATGTTCATTCCTTTGAGGATTACCATCAATACCTGCCCATAGAATTCGTTAAATGTTTCACAAGAAAAAGCTTGGCCCTCAAGTGACGTTTAAGGGTTCCGCACGGATGAACCGAACTGTTTCAGTTGTTTCAGTTATTTTAAAATGAAATCCCTTTCAGCAAATCCCACTGAATAATAAAGTTAGACTAGCTGACATCAAATGTCTCTTTTTCCAAATATGTTAAACGGCATTAGGCTAATTTTTTTTGCGGGATACAAAGGTTGACGTTATCCTCCTTCCTCCGGAGTGTTAATCCCCGACTTATTAGGGCGGCTCATTTTGGCTCATACTGAAGGTACGTTAAGAGGTTATTTGTTTGTATATTTTGTTAAATTTTATTTGTTTGTCGGTTAACGACATATTTCAACAATGTCAAATCTTGCCTCCGATGACGTCCGGATGTGTCGATTATGATATACTATGAATGAAATGTTCAAAAAAAAAAAAATCATGAAAAAAAAAAAGATTATTAAGAAACGGGAGAATCTAAAAAAAGCCATGAAGATTGAATTTCTTTTGATTTCATTTAAAAAAAAAACAAGATTTCAATCTTTTGGGCTGATTGAATTTAAAAATTTTTTTTTTTTTTTTTTTTTTTATACGTGCTATTATATAATAAATGATGAACATATATATTTTCTATAAAGAAAAAAAAATTAAAAAAAAAAAAAAAAAAATAAGAAGTAAGGTCGTAAGAGACGATTTATCCTTCCTTTATTTTATAAAATATGAAAGCCGAGTTGGGTTAACCTTCGGCTCAGAAACAACATAAAAAGTATATTATAATATATTTTTTTAAAATAGAAAAAATTTTTTTTTTTTTTGATCTTTTGTAAACTGTAAAAAAAAATGATCGACTTTATTGTATGAGACGCTTAGTGTCACGAAAAATTCGATACCTGCATTTTGCATGTATGAGCCTTTTTTAGATTTCAAACTACTTAATTACCACAGTCGTGGTTTAATATATAACGACAATCAATACCATAAAGTGTTCCTTTGTCATACTCATTTGTTGACATAAAATAACCGTATATAAAAAATTGTCTATATAAACAACGAATTTAATAAACTTCTTTTCCTTCACTCAACAACCATCGTTGAAAAAAAAAATCTGATTTTTAAATCGTATCAAATTACAAATAATTTTTCGATAAAAATTCTCTTTACAAACGAAATTACAAAATGACTGAAAAATCAACTCAACAGAAAGAATTCGTATTCATTTCCGTCGACGGAAAGCAAACAAAAAATATTGCGATAACCCCCCCAGAAAATTTGAAGATTGAATTCCCTCCAAAGTTCACCGATTCAGAACTTGGTCGTAACCATGACAAGAAATCGCAAGGAAAGTCAAAGAAGCCACCAAATGCCTTTATATTATTCAGAAAGAAATACGTTGAATCCTTACATCGTCTTGGACATCGTGATGCCATGAAGAAGGTTTCTGGCTGGGCTCGAGACGCTTGGAATAAATTACCTCAAGAACAAAAGGAGCAATACGAGCAATATGCGAACAAGGCTGCAAAATTTTATCAGGAGTGGGAAATAAAAAATCCTCAACTCGTACGCCAAAAACAAATTAAAAAACCAAAAAAAAATAGTCAACCCACCCAAAGTCCAAAACCGATCGTTCAAACTCAGGCAATGCCCGTACAATTTACAACACAGACAACACCTCCAGAGTTGACCGAAGTTGATACGCGGAATTATTACACATTTGATGAACCCATATATTACCCACTCGTATACGAACAAACAGAAACAGATCAACTTTACAGCGATTATAGTTTCTATAATAATTTGGAAAATATTCCAACTACTGATATCAACACTCTCAATTATTATTACGATTTTTTCGATATCTTACCTGTTCCGGTTAAGGACAATTCTCAATTAGTCTGAGCACAAATGCTATATTTTGTAAAAATAATAAACAATATCATATTTTTATCCTTAAAATTATTTATTTAAACTTTTTATTTTCATTTGTATATTTATCAAAAAAATTAATTCGGCATTGGTTACCTACATTTTTATTTATTATTAACACTTCATCTTTTGTTCTATATGATTTTTAAAAACTTTCGATAAATTTGGCGGTAAAGTATTATTTAGTCCCACCTACTCTGGCAAATCAAAAAAAAAAAAAAAAACAAACTTCGAATCGCAATCACAATCACAAACAAAAAAATTTCGTTATTTCTCACTATTAATATTTAAGTTATAAGGAAAAAAAAAAAAACTATACAACACAATTATGATTTTTTTAAGACTTAAGTAATTTTATTTAATTTTATGAATTTTCCTCGTTTCGATTTATTTAGTCTCAAACATCGAGTTTGATTTTTTTTTATTTTTATTTTTATCTTTATTATTTATTTATTTACTTTTCTTTTTTTTTTTTTTGGCAATTATTACTTAGCAAATTTCTTATATTTCTTTTATCATATTAGAACAAAAGAATTTCTTTTTCTATTTATTTACTTAAAAAAATAATAATAAATTTACTCAAAAGACTCATCTTTTTTTTTTTAATCTACTTGGAGGGAGTTTTTTTTAATCGTGGAAAAAATTGGACATTATTTCTTTTTATATATATATTTTTGTATAGTAATCTTTTTTTATATTATTATTATTTTATTGGAATTTTTCGTGGTTGATCCAGAAAAAAAAAGGACATTAAATTCAAAAGTATTTAGTAAAAGCAAAAAAAAACCGTTTAATAATATCACTTGTTATCTTTTCTTCCAATTCACACTTTTTTTTTTATTTATACTTAATTTTCTGTTTATAATTAAATCATTTTTATATTATTGTAAATAAAGATCATGAAATTATCGGAATCTCTTTTATTTATTAAAATTTTCTCTTTGAAAAACTTATTTATTTAAGATGAAAAAAAAAAAATACTTTTTTTAAAAATGATGTATTTACTGCGCATCTCGACGTACACAGCAAAAAATTTTTGTTCATTACGATAACCCAAAATGAAACAAGGATTGTTTAAATGTAGCATGTGGGCATTTCCTTTCTGCACGCTGCGCAGTAAATTTCGTTCAGTCTTTTCTTATTAGAAGTCCACGTTCCACAGTTAATAATCAAAGGGGATCCTCGAGTCCAAGTTTCATTGGATACCAACATACCTTCTTTTTTTTTTTTAATGTTGATATGCGCATTAAGAGACATGCCGGATGGGGATGGATGTACATGAAGGAATTTCAAATTTACCCTATTTGTATCACCCATGTAAAAAAAAAGGAAAATTTTTCTTTTTTGAAAATTCGATTGCCATGCCGTTTTAAGAAGGGTTACAAACATACATATCCTTGCGTTTTGAAAGAAGGTAAAACATTTTTTTTTTTTTTTTAACAATGCAGAAGTGTATGCATCATGTTGTTATCTTTTTTTTCATTATTATTTTTTTTTGAAAAAAATAAAGGCGACAAGTTTTTTCCGGTGGGGGATCTGTTCAGCTGTATCATATTGTATGATGACAAAGGTCCTTGCTGAATAAAGGTGAGGTATATCGTTATTTATGTCATGTACAATGAGAAAGAGTACTGTGGCATGATCGCATTTGTTATCAACAAATCACGCTATGACACTTTCTGAACAACGAAAAAAGGTTTCATTGTGTTAATCTATTGTGAGGCGCAGTAATTCCCTGGTATGGTCCAGAGACAAAGACGTACATATTAGTTTTTCAAATTGAGAAAAAAAAAATATCTTCCGATGTGCCCGGACAAGGAATGACCTGGTGCACATACATTTACATGACGTGAGAAACAAAGGGTTCGTCCAACATCATCGATATCCATGATAAGGATTTGCGTCATCGGTAAATGAAACTAATAAAGGAAAGAGAATTCATAACGAACACGATTTCGTAAGTTGGTAAGTACAATGTTTTAGGTATTTGTACGCATCTTAATAAATGATATCATACAAAAATGGAAATATTACGATTAGGTTGACAATAAATCGCGTGGTGCTTGACGTTTCATCTCTGCATACCGAATTTCGGCTAAATTAGAGAAAAAAAAAAAAAAAAAAAAAAAAAGTTCCCACTCTAAAATTTTATATAATATGATGTGACTTTTTTTTTTGTTAAAAAGTGTTCAATCAAACCCCACAAATATCGCTTGGGAATCGCGGCGTTTGAAAGTGAAATGTCCGAACCATGAATGAAACATGATTAGGAATTATTAGATACGATCTCTGGATAAACTATAGGCTTGAAAGAGGCTATTGTATCTTTGATTGTATTCATGTAACGATCAAGATTGGCAGTTGGGCAGTTTATTTCCATTTTAAACGGTTCCATTGAAAGATGATGTCGATCATCTTCTTTTCGACCCTCCATCCAAAGAATCATTCATCATCATCATCATCATAATCATCATCATTATTTTTTTTTTTTTTCAATGAATTAATGCAACTGACTTTTTTGGAAGTTCAATTTAATTAAACGCCGTAAATAATGAACTTCGTCTTGCATGAAAAGAAAAAAAAAAAAAAAATTTGAAACAATGCATTGATGTGCGTGTATCACGGCGTGACCCCGCTAAATGCCAAGTGACACCATTTAAAGGCAATTTCTTAATGCAAGTTGCACAAACTTCTTATTTTAATGTTATTAAAACGATTACACGACAGACAATGGAACAGGTTTTTCCATTTAAAAATCAAGTTTATGTCAAGAATTGGCGAAAATAAACTGTAATACAGAACCTAAACTATATTGTAATTTAAAATAAGTGATTGATGATTTAAATTAGATCATCTTTATTTTGCATTAAATTTTATTTCAAAAATAGGTTAAAATAATAAAAAAAAGATCTTTTTTTTTTCGGTTGAACAAAAATCTCCTTTGTTACAAAAAAAATCATATTAAATCAATTACGGAAATTGGGCAAAAGCTACTTTAAAAACTTTAAATTATTTATGGTATATTATTAAAATAATAATAAAAAAAAAACTAAAAATGACTCTATTCCGCTCTTTCATTATGTCAGATTTTTTTTTTTGAAAGGTTAAGCATTACTAATTAGTTTCATCTCTCCCCCTTTGATAGAGAAAATGTCGCTGTAATGGGGACAAACAATAATTTATAAGCTTCGGCTGGTCGGCTGGTTTGGTTCCCTTTGAAAGGACTCCGGAAGTTATTATTTTAAGTAAGTTGAATATATTAACAATACCCTTATTGTTAGAAATGATCGTCACAGGTTTTTTAAAGGGGCTTGGATTGACCTTACGGGTTTGTTTTAAAAAGATTTTCAAAATGTTTATGTAATTATCGCGCCGACGATCTAAATGTAATCATGATTAATTTAAAGCTATTACTAATTATGGAATCGAGATAAATTCATTTAAGAAGCCAAGAAAAAAAAGTATATATAAATCGTTTTACCAAAAATATGTTGGGCGTAAATAAAGTTTTTTTTTTTTTTTTTTTTAATTAACCAAACTAATAAATAATTTATATATTGTGTACAATATATTCTTTCAAAAAAAAAAAAAAAAAAAAAAAGTCATTTTTAAGCGTGCATGTATCTGCATGTATCATTACGAAAGTACTTTCTAAGAAAGTGGTAAAAAAATATTCTAGAAAAAAAGATGTTGATATTGCATATGCAGCTACTTTGTCATCATACACCATCTTCCGTCCCGTCTATTTTCGTTACCAAGCATGTGTTCACACTTTCTTTGCGTATGATATTTGAAAGCAAACTGTGAGTCTCTCGTAGGATTTACCGCACATAGAAGTTAAAAAAAAAAATAATCACGGAAATCGATTACGATAATGAATCTTGGTCTAACCGGTTTCTGCGTTGTGTAGCTCAGATGCTCAAGGGCTTGCATCCAATTTTACATAAAACGATAAATTAAAGCTTGACAATGAAATTAGAGTTTGACAAGATTTTAATGTTCTTTGTTTAGGTGCATGCTTTGTGTTGCATCTTTAAAGCTTGTCCTACGAAGATTATTTATTAATTTAGTCTTGGTAGTTCCCTTCCTTTTTGTGTCTTACATATTTGTTTACTTGTTGCATCATTATTAAAAAAAAGTACTTTTTAGGTAAATTAATTAATTGCACTAAAGTAAGCATAAATTAGATTAACATGATTGTTAAATTAGTCTAGATTTATTGAATTTTTGATGTGGCTTGCTTGATGTGCCCGATATTCTGTGAACGCCCGGCATTACGCCTCGCTTTACGTTAATCAGCGCACGTGTTACGAGCATCCTTCACTAGTAATGTTGGATTAATTTCAGCAGGATTTACATGATGCCTAAATTAAGGATGCGAATTTATCATATACCTAGACATGCACTAAGAATTCGAAAATGCCTTCTATTAATGAATCCCAACAATCCATCCTATTGTAACAGCGTAACACCTCGCGAAAACAATCGACTTTATAATGAGAGAGACGTTATACATTGTTCCGTGCCACAAACAATCGTTTTCTATTTATTATTATTCCCAAAGGCGCCTCAGAAAAAACACGTGTTTTCTTGTCAATCATGTCTCGTTTTAGCATGAAGGACGAATTCTCGTTAGTCGCCTGGATGTTTAAGTTTTAATAATAAAAATAATAATAAATACGAAGAAAAAACAAATGTCCTTATCCAGTATAAGAAATGACGAAAACGAAAAAATATCCCGTCATCTGACTCAATAGAAAATGGCTAAACCGAAACCTTATTTTCGGCGGGATGGAAATATTATACAATTTTAGATTAGCGTCACCCAGAATGCAGAACAATTTTTTTTTTTTTTTTTTTTTTTTTTTTTCCTCGACAACAATCATCTTTTTCAAAAAAAGAATCAAGGGAATTTTTCTTATTTGCTCCTATTCATATCATATGTCATGTTATAATTTCTTCAGATAAGTTGA